CTTTCTTTCTTTCTTTCTTTCTTTCTTTCTTTCTTTCTTTCTTTCTTCCTTCCTTCCTTCCTTCCTTCCTTCCTTCCTTCCTTCCTTCCTTTCTCTCTCTCTCTCTCTCTCTCTCTCTCTCTCTCTCTCTCGGTTGGGAGACTGAAAATATGACCTCTTCCCATACCCTGCTGTTCTGGTTCCTTTTCTGGCAGAACAAACCACTCTAAAAGAGATTTACATAATACGACCGCTTCATTATGTTGAGAGTGTCCACTGCATGGAGCTGAGGCACACAGAGGAAGCACCTTGTCTCTGCTCAGTATTGTCTGGGCCTCAGATGTGGCAACACAATGAGCTCTGATAACCAGGGCCAGAATCACCTGGGCTAGTATTTGTCTGAAGGATTATTATTTGTCTCCTGAGATGTCAGCTAGAGCTGTGTGCCATAGCTGTGGTGTCTGTATAGCCCAGACTTTCTTAAAAGATGGCAGCACCAGGGAGATTCAATTTCTTACATGGTAGTTTAGAATACTGTTTTAGTTAGGGCTTGTATTGCTCTGATGGGAAACTACGACCAGAGCAACTTGGGGATAGAAGGGTTTATTTGGTATATGTCTTCAGAGTGACAGTCCGTTGAAGGAAGTCAAGGCAGAAACTCAAATTGAATGGGAACCCATAGGCAACAACTCAGGCAGAGGCCACGGAGGGAGAAGTATCGCTTCCTGTCTTGCTCCTCCTATTTGCTCACACTCCTTTCTTAAAGAACCCAGGACCACCAGTCCAGGAGTGCTACCATTTATAACAATGGCTGAGCCTTTTTATCAATCAGTAATTAAGAAAATGCTCTACAGGCTTTCCTATTGCCAGGTTCGATGGAGACATTTTTCTAGCTGTGGTTCCCTCCTAAGATGACTCTAGCCTGTATCAAGTTGACACAAAATTAGCCAGGACAAACATCAAAAACAAGTGCTTTAAACGACTATAGGAAAACTATATGGGGCTGTTTCTGGCATCACAGTCACACTTTACTATTTCTGTGACATAGTGGCATTCATAAATGAGTTACCAATGATAGTCCAGGCTTAACAGGAGATTGCCTACCTGCCAGCTCTTGGGAAAAAATGCCAAAAACTTTGTAGTTTAGTTTTAAAATAACAGTCTACTCTCTGTTCACAAATAATTTACATCCAATCCACATGGAATATATACTGTCTCATGGGTGTCATCCTGTAAGTAGCATCATGCTGACATTTGAGATCCACAGTCTTATAAGCCAGCTGAGATCCAGGAACAGATGATGTGACTCAGATTAGTTTCTTGGGCATATCTC